GGGAAAGCACCAGGAAACACATTGAAATTAAGGGCGTTGGACAGCAGTTCCATGCACTAATGGAGTTCACAAAACATTTCCAAAAACCAATTCCAGTCAATGTTATGTGAACCCAGGGGCAAGTTCACGAGGCATCTACTGGCCACATTTTTAGCTCACTCCTCATTAGTATAGTGGTAAGTATCCCCGCCTGTCACGCGGGAGACCGGGGTTCAATTCCCCGACGGGGAGGAAGGCAATCTTTTGAAAGCCCATTTCATTTTTGATGGGTTTGAGACAATTAAGAACTTTTATTAAGCGAGAAAAAAAAGCTTAGAAAGAAAAAGAAAGATTTCAACAATCCTAGAAAGATACGCCCTAAATATTTACAAAAGCCTTTGTGTGCTTTTTGAAATTGGGTCTCTCTAGCACAGGGGTGCCCAAACTCGGTCCTGGAGGGCCGGTGTCCTGAAGAGTTTAGCTCCAACCCCAATTAAACACACCTGAACCAGCGAATCAAGCTCTTACTAGGCATACTAGAAACTTGAAGACAGGTGTGTTGATTTAATTAGGGTTGGAGCTAAACTCTTCAGGACACCGGCCCTCCAGGACCGAGTTTGGGCACCCCTGCTCTAGCACTTTAACTGAGATATATTTAGCTATTTGCTTGCGGACCCCATTCCCATGGAGAGTGAGTGACAAGCTAGAGCAAGGATATAATTGTCACATGACACACTTCAGCAGAGAAGTGAGTGTTGGGAGGGGGAGTGCACAATCATGGCTTGTGCAAAGCAAGACAGAGGTACCTATGACCAGAGCTTAGGAGCTGAGAAAGATTTAGTTGAAGAGGATCAGGATACTGTCAATGTAGCTCCTGACACAGTGCTCCAGGTGGAGGGGGAGTTGTTTTTTGTGAACCGTGAGCATTTGGCTCAACTGAGTCCCTACTTCCGAGCCTTGTTTTTTGGCGGTGGTCGTGAGAGCACCAGAAAGCACATTGAGATTAAAGGAGTTGGACTGCAGCAGTTTCAGACTCTAATGGAGTTCACAAAGAACTTGAAGCTGAAATTAGACTGCAAGAATGTCCTTGAAATTCTGGAGGCTGCTGACTTCCTCCAGTTGGACAGGGCTCGGTTACTCTGCTGTAAGTTCTTGGAAAGGCAATTGCATCTTAGTAACTGCTTGGGAATGATGGCATATGCTTGGCAGCTTGGCTGTCTGGACCTCTACGCAGCAGCAAGGGATGTCGTCTTGACCCACCTACCTGCCTTAGCCTCCGAGCAAGACTTTATGTTCCTTCCGAAGGAGAGCATTGCTGACCTCCTTGCTAGTGACAACTTAAGCATTCCCAAGGAAGACCTGGCTCTTGACGTGGCCCTTCGCTGGGCAACGTTTGACTCAAGTCGGGAAGAGGACTTCATGGAACTGGTGGGTCTGGTTAGACCCGAGTGCTTAAGTCTTCCCTACATGACTGACCTTCTGTCCAAGATAAACAGTTCAGACCCACGTGCCAAGCTAATTTGTAGACTGAACGATAACTTGCCCAGCAGTTGGACTATGGGCAGGTCCATGCCTAGAGCCCGCTCAAGAGAAACTCTGTTTGTTCTCGGTGGACCGCATGAGCAAGAAACACAGTTGCTGTATCAGTTTCACCCCTACAGTGGAAGGTGGCAATCCCATCCACCCTTGCAAAAGAAGTGTCTCACACAGTACTCTGTGGCTGCAGTAGGTAACGACCTCAGCTGATCCTATACATTTTAACCTGCCACAAGTTGTTAGCATAATGATCTACCTGGATCATGCTTGTTCAGGTGTTGCATGCCCTTTCCAAAATGAAACTTTTAAGTCAGGAGTGCCGAATCCTGTTTCTGGAGATCTACCTTCAGTGCTCCAATATATCTGTTTTGTAACTATCACATGTTTCTGAAGATCTTAATGAGCTAGTTCAGGTGTGTTTGATAAGGATTGGAGCAGTGTTAATTTTGACAGCAAATTTTGATTTAGTTTTAGTCAGTCTTTTGACTAAAATGCCATTTAGTTTTAGTCATATTTTAGTCATCTGAATTGTTTTTAGTTTTAGTCTAGTTTTAGTCGACTAAATATCATAAGATTTTAGTCTACTAAATCTACAGTAAATTTAGTCGGCCAAATATCTAATGGGTTTAGTTACAGTGCATTTATTAAGCATTTCTTCTCTTACTCCCACATATTGACATTTTGGAACGTTTTATGCGACGTGCAGCAAGTGTATGTTAGCTTATGTCCCGCCGGTTCATATGTACGCATCTAACCTCCGAACCACGCAGCAGATTCGTTCTGAATGAATCTCTTCCCAAATCGTCCCTCCCTAACATTTTCTAATTTTTATTCATTGACGAAAATGTCAATAGATTTACGTCATAGTTTTTGTCATTCATAAACCGTTTTAGTTCGTTATCGTCTCATTGTCGTCAGTGAAAAAAATGTCGTTGACGAAAATTATTCGTCAACTAAATTAACACTGGATTGGAGCTGAACTTTGCATGAAAGTAGATCTCCAGAATCAGAATTGGGCATTTCGATTTCATTGTCTTACTGTCCACACCATCTAAAATATTATTTCTTGCTCTAAGGGGAAAACATAGTAGTGACTGGAGGCTACTTCCGGGACGTGTTATGGTATAGTGTGGACTGGGTGAGCATTTACGAGCATGGTGACAAGCGATGGGTGGACGGCCCGGCGATGCAGAAGTCCAGGCACAGCCACTGCTCATCAGCTCTGGAGTTCCAGCTGTTTGTGTTTGGCGGTAGCATGGATGAGGGACCTGTGGCTGACGTAGAGAGGCTGGTTTTGGGAGCCAAGGAATGGGACACCGTCAGCCCCATGGTGCGGGCTGTGGAAAGGGCGGCCACTGTCACTTTGGGGACTAGTATTTATGTGGCCTGTGGTCTAGATGAGAATGGGGATGTTTACAGTGGGATTCAGAGGTACAGGCCAGAGGTTGATCAATGGGACGTGGTATCCTATTCTCCATTTCCACGGTGAGTAAACGCAATTGTGTCCAACTTGTTATGAACCAGGCTTGATCAACTCTGGACCTCAAGGTTCACTGCCCTGCGGATTTTAGCATAGATTGTAGGCAGGTGTGATTGGCTCTTGAGTTTAGCTCCAACCCTAATTAGAGTTGCCCACCTTTACAAGGCAATTCTCTCCACAGATGCCACCACAAATAGTCTTGTATCAGTTTTGCACACTTTGGTAAATCCAAGTAACATCTTGTTGGATACATGTGTACTTTTTTTCCAGTTACGACCTTCTTGCAACTGAGCTCAATGGTGCCCTCTATCTGCTGGGAGGACAGGCTCTACGTTTAGACATCGACACAGACGAGTGGACCATTCTTCAAGAGGACTGTCTGGACAACAAATTCTTCACAGGCTGTGCCACAGTGAACGGGCAGATTTACATACTGAGTGAGAGGAAGATAAACAAAACGTACCCAAACATGATTTTACTAGACCCTTACACTGACACTTGCTTGGAAATTGATGATAAAATACCCTGTCCTGTCCCCATAAGAGGTTGTGTCACAATGCATGTCGGTCCTTTCTAAAGCCATAATGTCAACACTATCCTTTCATGCAAAGTATTAAACTAATGCAAAAACATTTTGTTGAGCAAAGTTGAGGATAATCATATTCTAAAACATTTTTATTGTTATTCAAATGGTCACAGAGAAAAATAGCGGACGAGAAGCAAGTATGCATTATTGCCAGTACTGAAGATTATAAGAATATATTCCTCTTCTGTCATTGTTACAAGATATATAACAACTACAAAATGTTGCATTAACAAACTCGGAACATGGTAAATCCCAATAAAATGAGGAAAATTCATACAAAAACAATCACAGGTCTTTCATAAGTTAAACAGTGTAAGACAGACACACAGGTTTTGAATGAAAGGTCCGTTATAGCTACTGTGCAAATAAACTTTCCAGCTCCATCTAGAACAACAAAAACACTTTGCCTTTAGCCCTTGGAGCAGATTCAATATTCAAGAAATCAAGGGGCCTACATAGGTGTCCTCAAATTCAACTACCCCCTTTGACTTTTAAGATTTCGCGGCACATGCTCCGGTGAGAAATCATATAATTCCTCATTTGGTAAGGCAATGTGCAGCAAAAAATGCCATCTTATAAAACACAACAAGCTCCAATATTTCCTTGCAACAAAATCTTTCATTAGCAGAATCACAAAGACAAGTGGACATTTCACCAATAGATGGCGCCGTAAGTTTTTCCTAAAGGTCCACCAATGCCCATTTAGAAACCAATAGCCACTGCAGAAAATTCATCATTTGCACACAACTATCTCTTCTTTTATTTTCTACAGAGGATTTAAAAAGATTGCATCTAAATGTTGCGGGTCTCTCTAGTCAGGATTGCTGACATATTATTTTTTACATATCACTGTTCCATAATGAACATTTGCAGCAATGAGTAAACAAACTTAAACAACACTTCAACAATTAATACTAAAAATGTCAGTTTATGAAAAATGTTTATGTACGTTAACAATTAATTTTGAGTTAAAGTGCTACTCAACCAATGCACTATAATTAATTAGACTAACTTTAAACAAATGAAAGTTTAACCTATTTAAGATAGACTGCAATGGTAATGTAATAATACAAACTAGTAGTATTTTTTGTTTTACGCAATCTACTGACTACGCATTTTTTTCACGCAACCAAAACATCAGCGGTCTGAAATTGCAGAAGGACCTTGACAAACAAGGTAAGCCAAGAAAGTTGGAGATGATTTAACACGTTTAAATACATAAAGTAGCATTGCTATCTGGCTTTCTGAGTTCTACTATTCATTTTTCGCCTCGGATTCGTTAAATTGTTCAGAACACAGTTATTGGCCAATGATGCCAATTTTGAGTTAAGGGCACCCTTTTTCTGCTCCCAGGTGTGTTCTTCTTCTCCACCTTCATCTTCATCAGCTTCACTCTCTTCATCGCTCCTTTCATCGCGTTCCACCTTAAAAACACGTTGGTTTTAAAACTTAGAAAATAGGGGGATAACCTCATTAACTTTAAGATAAACTTAAAATTCTAATCTTAAACTTAAGATTAACATTAACTTAAGATACTCACTTTGCCTAAAAAAAATAATTTGTGAACCATTCGAAGAATCAACCAAGCCCAGAAGATGTGCAGAGCTTGCAAAACCAGCAACAGGCCATTTAAGAAATAATAACCAGGGTACGGAGGAAAGACGTCCAACGAATCCACCACAGCTGTGTAGACGATCCTGGAAATGAACCAAAATACGGTTCATAAATCTTCATCTGAATGTCTTAGATTTGAAAAGAACATATTCAAAATCATTTGAAATCAGCATCAAATAAAAAATGAAGTCTGACGAAGTTATTACCTGCATGGAAAAACCATGAGGCGAGTTAACAGGAATACAGCGGCGAAAATGACAAACAATGCATCGCAGGTCTTTCTCCATCCAGCATAATTGAACATCTTGGCAGACTGCGAATCAAGCAAAAACAAAACATTAGTTATTTCTTTAGACATCTTTATTATTTCTTTATATATTGACTTGTATATGTCAAAGTCATTTATGTGCTTTATTCTGTTTCAATAAGAGGAACTTGCTACATACATATGCATGTATTTCCTGGTATTTATTAACCCCTGAAGCAAACAAGAACATGAAACAACTTCTAAAATAAATTCCACAAGAAACTCTCAGAATCGTGTTTTTCCGTATTTATGTGTTAAAAACGTCCGCAATGAAGTCTGATTACCTTATGCGGATGAACAAAGATAGCAAACAGGACCATAAAATTGTTGTTTTATTAGTATTAAAACTTTATTTATTAAAGGAATAATCACAATTTTTTTCCCATGTTTTAATTTTAACAGTAATCCTCTGCTGTGCAGCACTTTGTTTGCCAAAAAAAGGTTTAAATTTAATTTGATTAAAGGATAAATGAAATTAATATTGTATGCCATCATTCACCAGAAAAATAAACAATAATAAGTAAACCATTAAAATTGAATCAAACATTTTTTTAATGGAAAGCACATAATTTGGTAAAAAATTAACAGAATTTGAGAAAAAAATAAAACGTATTTCATCGGGCCCTAAAAATGTAAATTTTGTTAAACTGTTAATAAATTGTTTCTTAAATTATATGTCATGCTTTTTCATTACTAAAATTTATTCATTTGTTTGGTGATTTAATAATTATTCAGATTGAATGATTTTAATATTTTTAATTAGCTATTTAGGTATAAAGTTAATGAATTTAAATATTTATGTGATTACTTAATATATTATATTTATATATTATAACATTTAATATACAACATACTACTATATACTATTAGGCTACTTTTTATTATTATTATATTTTTATATGATAATCTTTTAAAACTATACATTTATCTTGAAAAATATAAATATAAATACATTTCTTGTAAAATTATGTGTATATATATATATATACACACACACACACACCATGGTAGTATATTATATAATATAATATAATAATGTTCTAAATTGCATTTATTTTATTAGTTTTTTAGAATGATTGTGGGTTATTTTGAGAAATTAAATTAATGATTTCGAATTTTTATTTTAAACAAATATTTCTTAGTGATATTTGCCCATGAAAAATAAACACAAAATAAACAAACAGTTCTTTAGTAGAAAAAATAAACAATTGCATTGAGTATCCAGTCGCTGCAAAAAAGATAATGGCGACAGTGTAAAAATAGCAGACTGCACCAGTGGTTTTTGTTACAAGGAAATATTGACAAGAAAACCATGAGAAAACAATACTCCACTTTCATTCTGTCAGAACTGACGCACTAAACTTCAGCCTGATATCCTCATTTCAATCATTCAAAGACAAACTTGAATAATACATCCTAGTTTGAGTTAGAAAGTCCTGAAGGACCGATCAGAGTTTGCAAAATTCACTCATAATGTGAATATAGATGTAATATTGATATGTACCTTTTGAAAACAAACCGCAGTGCGATGAAACCCAGGGCCAAGGGCAGGGAGATGAGCGGGATAACGACTTCCATCCGCCGTCCCCTCAGCGATGTCTTCCCATGTAACGCCAGGAGGAAGCCAGAAATCCTGCCGCCAAATCCACTGGTTCCTGGCACAAGTTCCTCTAATCTAGACACCAAAGGAGAAAGTTAGAGAAGGCTACTATCTTATTACAACAGATAAACCATCCATCTACAGATCAAATTTGGTCCGCAGTAGATGGAACAACAAACTCTCATAATACATATATACAACATAATGACAGAATTGTCCATTTTGGCTGAACTACTTTAAAATGACACACAGCACTCTGACAGGTGAGTTAAAATAAAATAAAAAGTAAAAAAAAAAAAGATTTTTAGAAATGTGTCTTCTAAACGCGAAGGGGTTAAAAGCCTCCGACGTCTTGACGCCACAGCGATTAGCGATTGCCATTTTCAGGCTGAATATTTACAACAAATCAGATAAATCGAACTAAAATCAGACTAAAAGTATTGTAATTTTGAGTACTTCCTACGTTATAAATACAGCACTCACAGGTGAATTTATTTAAAACATAAAATAGACAATATTACCAGAAACGTGTTTTCTTACAGGGTTAAACAGCCTACGTGACGTCACGACTCCTCAAGATTATCGATCGCAGTTTTCAGGCCGAATATTTACAACACATCAAGCTAAATGGCAATAAAACTATGCATAGACGCCACATATTAGTCGTAAAACAACATGTAAACAAACCAACTCGCTCATTAATCTAGAAAAGACGTCAAAAATTGTAAATTATATCTATAAATTCCAAACAATTAATAATCACCTAAAGACAGAATTGTCTATTTTGACTTAACTGCTGCTTTAAAATATACATTTTGAGCTCTTGCTATTTGAGAAAGACAGCACTCTGTCAGGTGAGTTTAAATAAATAAAAAAAAACGATAATATTGTCATAAATGTGTTTTCTAAACTTTAAGTTAGAAGTTAGTTAGCGAAAGGGTTAACGGGCCTGACGTAACAGCGATTATTTTCAGGCAGAATACAACAAATCAGACTAAATCGCAATAAAATTATGCCACATATTAGCCACATATTAGCTCGATAATCTAGAAAAGACGTCAGAAATAGACAAAATCATTACCGTAATTTAATAAGAACCTAATGTTCAATACATTACGTTATAAGGAAATAATAACGAAAAAACCACCGTCCGCCCTGTTGAAAAAACCAGCATATGCTGGTTAGGTATGTTTTGATGCTGGGATGCTGGTTTATGCTGGTCCTGTCTTTCTGTCTCCTTACAATGAATCTACTGTTTGTTTTCCAATCAGCGGGGATTTTAAATGGAAGAAAACAACTCTTATGTTTATTAATTGTTCTTCACTATCTCATCTCTTGACTAGTTTAGCATATTGTGAACAGCACACAAAAACACAATTTGCACGGGCCATTTCTTCTTGTCTATGTTCCATCTAAAGACAGTCCTGAAAATGCATTGCATGTGTTTTATTTGGCTTTTAACATGCGTGTTTTCCCAGACCTAAATGCAATATATGTGGCTAAAAGCCAAAGTATGCATTGCAAACGTTGAGGATGCTTTAATGTTGTACATAATACTGTATGAGTTTCC